CCGCCACCACTTCAAAAACAAATCAAAACATGCTTTTAAAACAGTACGGGCATTACCATAAATTACTTACCTCACTTGCAAAACCGAGCACTCAATTCACGCACTAACTGACAGAACGATCGGGAACCTAATCAAAACACCTCAGAATTAATACCGGACTATCACACATTCACACTGAACACTTCATTAGGATCATTCCTAATCACAATGCTATTTCCATAAATCTCCACATGATCAAATATCTCTAAATTCGTTCTTCTATCACAAACTAATCATTTAAATCCCCGTTAATTGTTGGCCCTCGGGGTGTGAACAGTACCCGTGAACAGTACCGTGAACAGTAACCCGAAGTGAACAGTAACCCCGACTTTCACAAATTGGCCAAAACACTAGCTAATCTCACGGGGTTTTCTCTCCAAAATCACAACAAGCAATTAACACTCAATCACATAAATCCCACTGGAATTAATGCTTAAATCTCATCCTAAAGTTACCGGAATTATCCCCCATTTTCAGCCAAATTCGGACAACAATAGGGTAGCAATTAGATGGCTAATTTCAAGCTTAAATGGCTGTCAACATACCATAATTCTCCAGCTAAAACCTGAGCTGCAGGGGGAAGAGAAGCCGGCGGCAATTTGGAGAAGAAGCTCACGGCCTACCTCAAAAATTGAAGGAAATAAGAGCAATCAAAGTTAACCCAAGCCAATTCAAGCAAGAGAAGGGAGATTCATGGCTATTTCTTACCAAAAACCCAAGCAATTTGCCCCCACAAACAAGAGCAGCCGGCGGACAGCAGAGGGAAGAGCATAGCAGATCTGAAAGCTTCCTGCAGGGGGGAGATTTCTGGGTTCTAGGTGTGTTCTAGAGAAAGAAGGAAGGAGAAATCTCCAAGCTTTCTCACTAGTTTCTCAAAGGCTGGCTGGGTTCCCTTTCTTTTTTTTCCTCTCGAGTTGCAGCGAGAAGACGAGCATAAATGGGTGAGGAAGAAAGAGGAAAAGGAGAAAAAGAAAAAGAAGGAAGCTGATCCTTATCCTAAAATCTTCCCCTTTTTAAGTCCCTCAAGTTTGGACATTTTGGCTATTAAGCCCAAAACAATATCTTTCCACAATTTAGTCCTTAACTGAATGCTAAAATATCACAAAATTTCGGGGTATTACAACCATTTTGAAACAAAATTAATAGTTTATAGATCATTCTGAAAGAAAAAAATTGTTTATAAACTAAACTAAAATAAATCACATAGTTAGTAGACTATTTATTAAATTTAGCCCATTAGGTCTAATGACTGAGGAACAAAGTGAATGAAAGAAATTATTAATCGCTATCAAAAGACCCCAAAATAGTAGATGTCAATAGACTGCAAAAAGCAATTGGAATTAGTCGTTGCATGAAAATGTGATAATAATAACTTTTCATCTTAAATAACCTGAATTCATTTAAGTTGACACATCTTGATATGTTAGAAGCATATCCATTTGGAAAGTGCAAATGTTTCAACCATGCACATAGAAACTTCTGTTTTTGTGGGGTAAGTGTAGAAGTGGCATTAGGCTTCATAGGCTTACCATGTCTATCATATCTTATGTGCAGTTTTTCTTGGTCACAATAAATCACTAAATTAGATCTTGCTTTCACATTATCTTTTGTCATAGTGTCATCCATGACAGTGTGTATTATATTATTAGAGAAATTCTTCTCATAATGCATTACATCAAAATTGCATCTAATAAGATTATCCTATCAATAAGGAAATTCCTAAGGGATGCACTTTTTCACCCAATTGTGGGTGTTTCCAAAACCCTCAATTGTTTGGTCATTAAAGGGTTTCCCAAACAACACATCAAGAAGGTTTTCAATTTGGTGATGCATTAAAACACCATCCAATTGAGGAGGGGGTGTACCAAATTCAACCTGACCTTTTAGAAAATTAGTACAATAAAATCTAAAAGGATGTGATTGGGGTAAACACTAACGATGATGGTCAAAAAGATGGTTTTCGACCATTTTAAAGATAGAAAGATTGTGTTATCTCCATATAGTGTGGATAAGACAATCGGCCATAAGTGCTCCAATCAGACACCATACCGTAACTCAAAAAATCAATTATGCTCCACATCAACATAGCGTGTATTATGAAGTTTTGCTAACAATAACTATCATATGTTTCCACACCAATTGACCATAACATTTTCAAGTCTTCAATTAAAGGGTTGAAGGAATACATTGATATTTCTTCCTTGGCTTTTTGGACCAATGTAAGAAATGTAAATTCCGACTGCTTGCACATCTTTTGGCAGTAAGTTATAAATAGTAAAAAAAATTGGATAACAAAAGTAAAGGGTTGAAGAATGACCCCAAGGGTTGAAGAATGACCCCAAGGGTTGAAACCATTAGTGGCAAGATCTAATCAAACATCACGAGATTTTCTTCTGAAAGAAAGATGTATTCAATCAAAATGTCTCCACTCTTCTAACCATGCTGAACAAATGATCTCATCTATATCACCACAACATTTTAGATGTCATGTTATATGCTTAGCTATTTTTTGGGACATGTTGCCTCTGAAGGTGAGGTATTATTGGCTAGTCTTGATGAGAATTCCTCGAAATATCCTATTGTCATTTCCTCCTTGGATTTCTCTATTTATACCTCACTTTTCCACAAGTTGGACATGTCAATGCCTTTGTATGCTCCCCATAATATAACAAATAGTTATTAAAAAGCATCAATTTTTAAATAACCCAACCTAAGGCTTTCGTAAATTTTTTTACTTAATAACTTCCCACATCCTTCGATAATGGCATTAAAACCACCATTAGTTATATTTTTTGTAGTCTTAGTGTGCAACATATAGGAGAGTTAGCTGAGCACTTGTAATACCCCCCCCAAAAAAAAAAAAAGATTTCTTAAAACTTAAAATTTAGTTGGGGACTTATGTAGGAGAAATCATTATTGTTGGGCTCAATAACAAAACTTACAAACTTGAGGGGGGTTAAAAGAGGAAGTTGGGTATTTAAAAGGAGGCTAGGGCTAATTTTCACATTTTTCTCCTGTCCCTCTCGTGTTTCCCTATAGACTCATAGCCCCTACCAACCTCTCACCTCGGTAAGCCCTAGCTTGTTTCTAGTGCCTCTTCCTCAAAAAATCAAGTGAGATTTAGTTCTTTTTCCCCCTCCCAAGTTTGATTTAGGGCTTTGTAGGCTTATGACTCTACAACCATGATCAATCGAGATCTTGCTGTTGTTGCCTTCTCTCCAATTCTTGGTCCGTGTCGGGTAACTAGAGTATGTAGGAGATTGCCATTCTTAGCATCTTTCGGTAAGAAAAACAGCCATAATTCATCCTTCAAGCCTTGATTTCATCCTTAGTTTTGTTGATTAGATCTAGGTAGTATGTTGTTCAAAATTCCTTCCTAAAATCTGCTTGATGGTTCCAATTTTTGTAGCCATTTTGCCCTAGTTTGCTAGTATGGTGCTAAATTTTTTGCACTATTCTTACTATTGCCATGCCCTGTTTCTGCATAAGTTTTGTTGTTAATTGCTTTTGCTTCATCATGATTGTAAATTCTGCATTAGGAACAGGTTTCCTACTTTGCTAATTCTATGATGTTTGCCTCAATCCTAGCTTGCTTTCCTCTTGAATAGTTATAAGTTTCTGTTGTTTAAAAGACTATATTGTTGCCCTACTTTTAAGCTACAAAAAAGAAAAAAAAAAGTTTTAGTTCTTGCGATTTTGAGAAAAATCATGCTCATAAAGAGCTTAGCTTAGCCCAAAATTTTATTTAATTAGTTGTTGTTTTCTACTCCGTTTGTCCAGAATTTTGGGTGCTTTTTGGCTACTGATAATGCCCAGAAAATTCTGCTACTTTGCTACTGTTTTGCCCATAAAATTGTTGTTGTTTTTACCCAAAAAATTTTACTATTTTGCTGCTGTTTTACTGTTGTTTTGCCCATAAATTGCTGTTGATTTTACCTAGAAAATTCTACTATTTTGTTGCTATTTTGCCCAGAACTACTACTATTTTACCTAGAAATAATTGCTGTTGCATGTGACTTTTGGTGATGTTTTAAACATACTCTAGGTATGGTTAAATATATTAATATGTTAATAAGAGTTTAATGGGTAGAAATAGTAAGGATGTATAGGAAGAAATTGTTTCTTTGGATAGAAACTTGATATTGGTATTAGAAGCCAATTTAGCTAAATGGGGTATTTTGTAATCTTGTTTCTTCTTTGATGTGGCATAGGTTCTAAGTCACCTTCATCTCCTTGAAACCTTGAAATTCTTGCTTGTTGTATAGCTACAAGATAAGGTAAGTAAAAGTATGGTAATGCCCTTGGATTTTAAGATAAAGGTTTTTGAAAGCATATTTCGGATGGTTTTTCTTGAGATGGTGGAGGGACTAAACCCATTTTACACAAACATGAGCATGATTGGTTTGAAATGAAATTATTATCATTTTTATTGAGTGTCTACTTGGAGTTTACTTGACTGCCCTGATGATCTGGAAGTTTAATTGTAAATTATGGTTTCCTATTAACTCTTGCATGGTTTTGTCTCCAAATAGTCATGTTTTATAGTGCTCACCAGTGGGAGGTTTATAGACGCTACCACATGTCGACATGTTAATTGTGGAACCAGTTCATGCTATACGATTATCCTACTTGTGGGATTATACACTAGCAAATTTTGTGCCCACCAATGGGAGGTTTATAAATGTTGGTCATGACTTCTAGAGGAGACATCTATTTCATTCCCATACTCATACTGGTTTTATCTTGATACTTGATTACATTGATGGCATGCTTTAACTTTAAATAAGGATCACCCATCTTTTACTTATTGAGATATCTCATGATTTTTCCTTGTCCACCATTTCAAGTAATGAGACCTGAGATTGAGGGAACCAAGGGGAGTGATGAGCTAGAAAGCCAGCCTCTTGTCTTTTGGAGTTAGGCCGCTAAAAAAAAAAAAAAAATTGACATAGCCTTGGACCATAGAGCATTCTTTTGTAGACTAGATTTCCCCTTGGAGATAGTAATGGCTAAACTAATGGACTTGTATAAGTTTTTGTATACTCTTGGCCTAGCAAAGCTTTAGTTCTTGAAAGTCAAATTTTATTTTAAGATTTGATCTTAGTTATGGATTGCTAGTGGTGAATTAAGCAAGTTTGAGCCTTGTGCATTTGTGGGATTCTCTCACAGGTGTACAGCATTTGTTTCGCTCCTTGTTTTGGGACGTGCCAGCATTGTCTCATTTTTGCTAGAATTACCAAGTACTATTGTGGATGCATGAAGCAAGTCATAAAATGCCTTTGCTTGGTTGTTCAATTCCTTGTCCAAATGTTAATTGGGGAAATTAGCTTCCATTTCCCAATAATCATCATCCTTTGGACAAAATGCATCATAGACCATCCATGGAAGTTGTCCTTTCATCATGGTGTGCATCTTGGTTGTACGATGATTTGCCTGAATTAGTAGCAAACCATGGATTTGAATTCATAAACATCTCATCATGCACCCACCAAATAGAATAAGCATTTATAAAACCAATTGTAATAAGATGATTCCATACTATTCCTTGAGTCATCAATGGTAAATTAAAGCATTTACTACAAGGACATTTGATGGAATGACTTGGTCCAAGGCTAAGCTTATTGTATGCAAATTGAAGAAAATATTCAACTCCATCATAAAACTCCTCATGTATCTCTACTAGAGTAGTTCAACACCTATACATTTAACTATGATTATCTATAATCTTATTAAATTAATGACACAAAACAACATGATTAGTCTTAGAACAATTATAATATCTTTTATATATTTTATAGTTCATTTACCGAGCTAATATATAAACATGTTAAATTCATTCATCAACAAAATATTTTATAAACAAATTATTGAATTTTTATTTAATAAAAAATAAGTATCTAACCATACATCTATGAAAATATAGTGAAAATGAAACTTACTGTATAAAGAGAATCCACGAAGCAAAATATTAACTTACAAAAATAATTATTAAATTATTAATTTATAAATATTTTCACCAAAAAATTTATTCATATATACCATTAAATTATAGAAATTGAATTTAAAATTAACATAATACAACTTAAAACAAATCAACAACAAAATAAGGCCAGTTATTATATTGCAAGAATGTCATCATTAATTGTTAGAATTTCACTAGAAAATTGCCAAACAATTCCATACAAACATTCATAAAATTTACCCAAAACAACAAATCTAACAATGTTAATATCAAATGAACTAATCATAATGCTCGATAATCTAAACTATAACAAAAAAAAAATACAAAATATGTGTAATACCCCAAAAATTTCTAGGACAATTGAGTGTGAGCTAGGGACCTAATTGTGGGAAAATAATATTGTTGAGCTTAATCATCAAATTCTCAAATTTGAGGGACTTAAAAGAGAAAAGAATTAGGATAAGGATGGCTGATATTTTTCTTCTTTCTTTCTTTCTTCAGCCGCGCGTTTCTGCTCTTCTTCTTCTCCCCTGCAGCTGAACAAGAGCCAAGCCACCGACACACCCACCCTTTTGAGAACGGTAAAAAGCTTGATCTTTTTCCCTTCTTTTCTTGTTCAAGAATAAGATTTAGAACCTTGAAATCTTTCCCTTCTGCAAAAAATCCCAGATCTGCTCTATTCCTTCCTCTTCGTTCGCTGCTCTGCTATGTGGGTGTGATTTTTTCAGGTTTCTGGTAAGGGAAACAGCCACTAATTCCTTTTTTCTCCCTTGATTTGGCTTGGGTTTACTCTAATTTCTTTTGGTTTCTCCAATTTCCGGTAGATCCCCTGATTTCTCCTTCCATTCCTGTAGGCCTCCCCCAAACCCGCCAACTCTGGTTTGCTTGCTGAATTTTTCGGTATGTGACAGCTCCATCTAAGTCCAAATTTACCCATTAGTTGCTGAAATTATCCATTTATTTGTTGCCCCTATGTTGTCCGAATTTTGCTGAAATAGGGGATGAATTTCGGTAGCAATTAGAACAAAATTAAGCTGAATTCATGTAGAATTTATATGATTGGGTATTAATTATCTACTGTGAGGTTCTGGAGAAAAATCCCGTAAAATTAGCTATTGTTTTGCCAAGGCCAGTTCCTTTATGTTGTCTATGAAATTGGAGAATTGTGGATATGTGTGTTTATGCATATATAAATGCACAATCTGATTTTTGTGCTCAATTTCAGATAGAAGAAAAATAAGGATAAATAAATAAATAAATAAATAAGATTTCTTTATAGGATTAATAGCCGGCAACAATAGCAAGGTTTAAATGTTTAGTTTATATTGTAATGTCCGGTCATATGGTTATTAATTTTGGAATATTTTGGTTAGGTTCTTGATTGTTCTGTCACCCTAGCACTTGGAGTGAATTTTCTGTGTTATGCAATTGAGGTAAGTAAATTATGGTAACGCCTTTTGATTTCAAAGTAAAAGCATATTTTAAATTGTTTTTGAGATGGTGGCAAGGTTTATATTGATTTTATTAGCATCGAGTATGATTGGTTTGAAATTGAATTATTATCATTTTCATTGAATAAAGCATGCCTACTTGGAGTTTACTTAACTACCCTGATGATCTGAAAATTTTTGTAAATTATGATTTTCCTGTTAAATCCATGCTCACATGGAATTTTTCTGATTGATTCTTGAAAATTGAGATTGATTGTGAATTATGAAGTTTTCTTGTAAATCCTGCATGGTTTTGTCTCTAATATAGTCATGATTACTGATTACTGACGCCCGCTAGTGGGAGTTTGCAAACGCTAGCACATGTCGACATGTTTACCAATAGGATCGGTTCATTCTGTAATTCTGCCAATGGGATAATACATTGGTTATTACTAACGCCTACTAGTGGGAGTTATTAAACACTGGCGATGACTTATAGATGTCATTGAATGCCTTGTTATTGACTTATAGATGAGACTACTGCTAAATCTTATTATGCATTAACGGTTTATCATTGAACGTTTTGTTATGATTAAATTGCTTATCAGGCATGCTTAAATTTTACTCATGGGCTACCCATATTTTTACTTACTGAGATATCTTATCTCATAGTTTTCCTTGTCTACCATTTCAGGAAGTGAATCCCGAGGCCTGGTTAACCAGGGGGAGTGATGTGCTAGAAGGCTAGTCAATATTTTGGACTTAGATCCTTTTTGGGCTTAGGCAGTTAGCCACACATGCTTGTCATAGATGTGAAATGATAAATCTTTTTTTTTTTTTATACTGAATTTTCCTTGGTTATAGCCATGACTGTTTTATAAACTTTTGTACATCTGGACTAGTAAATTTTTTGGAAATGGAAAGCTAAATATTAACCAAGTTTTTGGATTTAAGTTATGTAAATTGGTAATTATGAACACAGTAGGTTCTGAGCCTTGTGCATTTGTGAGACTCGTTCACGAGTGCACGGTGTTTATTTTGCTCCTGGTTTTGTGGTTTTGGAGCGTGACAATATGAACAACACATTTGAATTCAACACAAAAATAGATTAAAAATGATAATATCACTCAAACCTGACTTACCACTGCCAGATCTACTAATTGTGAGAACATAAAAGCTGAATTCCTCATTGCTTGGCTCACCAGAAAGAATGAAGGAAAAGGAAATGTAGTCAACAGAGGAGAATGAAAATCACAAGGGAGAGGGGGTTCGGCGGGGAAGGGGGCCACGGCTCTCCATTTACCAACAAGCTTCAAGTTGGTAAGTGGAAAAGCTGATCCCCGAAAATCAGTTTTAGCAGGCCGAGATCAATTGTAGCAGGACCAAGGTAACTTCACCAACGTGATGTAGGTTGGTACTTTTTACTGACAAGAACCATTTGATTGCACATTTGACCAAGTTTACCAACGTGATACTTATTTGTGATAGTTACCAATGAGTTTCACATCTCCAAATGGGCAGCATTTGACCAGCACAATTTCAAACGATTTTAGCTTACCGACGTGGTGTTGGTTGTGGATATTTTACCGACGAGATTCACGTCCTTAAATAATTAGCAGAATAATTTCAAACTAAGATCCCATCGGTATTTTAAAATTTTACTGACAATTTTAACATGTGAACATGAAATAATATAAATTAATGTTACTTTTATTTTTTTACTATGTACATACATTGTTTTTTGTCGGCAATTGGGTCTTTTACCCACAAAACTTCTCATGTTAGTGATCTTTTGGTAGATAATTTAAGGTTTTCTAGTAGTGCTTGGATTGGGTTTTTTTTTTTTTTTCTAGCCATTTCTTGCAACGTTTCCATTTCATTTTTTAAGTAATTAATAACAATAATTAATACAATAATATTTAAATTTATATAGTGATTAAAGAAAGTGTGAAACTTTATTTTTTTTCAACAATATTAGAGCTACTTATGTAGAGATAGCTAGGCATGAAAAAACAACAATATCAACAAAAAAGTCCCAGACTTAGGTGCATGCAAAATAGGGCATAGAAAAGTCATTTTTTCTCCCTCTTATGGAGTGATGTTATTACCATGCCCTTAATTACTAATGTCACATTTTTTTATTTTAATTGACTATTATACCCTTTACTTTATTAAGAAACAAAAAATGTAGAATTTTGAGAAAAAAATGTAATGTAAGGTTAAATAGACAATTACATTAAAATAATGTGGTATCAACTATTTAGAATGTGACAATAATCCCACCCCTTTTATGTTATATCTTTCAAGTTTTATTAAATACCATTTCATAAAATTTGAATAGTGATTATATGATATTTATAGAATTAAAGAAAGTGTGAAGCTTTATTTTTCTTAAACAATATTGAGCTACTCATGTGGAAAAAGTTAGGCATAAAAAAACAACAATGTTAGAAAAAAAAGTCTAGAACTTAGATGCATACAAAGCCAAGTACAGAAAAGTCCTCTTTTCTTGCTCTTATGATGTGATGTTATTACCACGTCCTCAATTTTTATACAATTTTTAATTTATAATTCTTTTAACACATGACAAAAGTTTCCTTATTTAGTGACTTTTTTTTTTTTACACTGGAGTATTTCGTTTGTTGTTGTTTACTGAGATGGGTTATTGTCAAAATCCAAAATTACGGCAACAAAAATATATATATATATATATATCAAATCCAAAAGGTTAGTTAACGTCACTTGACTACAATACCCTTAGTAAATATGTGCTATTACTTTTTCTTAATTTAAATATCTTTTTAAAACAAAAATTGATAAAAGAGACAAAGTATTTGGATGAAATTATATGAGAAAAGTGTATATTAAAATATTTAATTCACGATAATAAAAGAAAAACTACTGGTTTTTTCTACTATACTACTTTTTAAATTAAGCATTTATTATTTTTAAGCCTAATTTTTTAGAATTTAGGAAGAATAATTTTATTTTTCAATATTTAAGATTTAAAATGGAAAATTAGAAATTTAAACTTCAGAGTTTTAGAATTTAGCATTTAGTTTTATAATTTTAAAGTTTTGGATTTTTAAAATTTTAGACTTCAATAATAAGAATTTAAAAGTTTAAGTTTTTAAAATTTATGATTTAGAGCTTTAGGATTTAAATTTGGATTAGAATTTAATATTTAATATTTTTTGATCAATTTAAACCATAATATTTTTAGGCGGCATTTTAATTTGACTCTCTTTTTCAGTTTTTTTTTAACTTTATTTTCTTTAATTTGTCAAAGGTATTTACTCCTACATTTCTTTTTATTTTTGGATATATATTTACTTATTAGTAATTTACATACTTCAACACTTTAGAATCCATAATTAAAGCACACATTTCATATTATACTCTTATGCTACTTTATTAGTTGTGTTATATTGATGGATATTACGTTTGATTTTTGATAGATTATGTTTTGTTTTCTCTTAGAATAATGTTTTTTTCCTTGTTTGTGTCATACCTAATATTCTAGATTTATTTTGGCAAATTTTAAATTATTTTCAATCAGTTTTAAATTAGTTCCAATTTAGAGATGGCTTAGTTTTTAAAATTTTAGTAGTAATATTCCAATTTAATATTTTACTTCGAAGAAAATTTGCAATTATTTAAGAAACATAACTTTTACATAAATTTTTTTTTTTTCGTTAGGATTTGAAAATCTCTCTGAAGGGTGTGTTTTGTTTGAAGGAAGGGGAATAATGGATTTGTCAACCAATCATATTACAATATTTGAAAATGTTATAATTTGATTGGTTATAAAACGCATCCCTTTTACTAATGATCTAAGTAACTTAGTGGTAATCTCTTTTCAATGGAAGTAAGAGCTCCAAAATTCAAATCATATAGCAGATGGGTAGGATAGGTTAAAAGATGAAAGAGAATTACCTCTTGTTGTGCAGGAAAAGGGTTGTCGAAAAAAAGGAAAAAACCTCATTTGTTCTCTTTCATTCGTTTCCTTCAAATCAAATATACTATTTAAAGGTAGCAATTCCCTTTTCCTCCCATGGGGACCCCATTTAATGTACCCCTAAAAATTCAATAATTTTTTTAAAAATTATTGTAAATTGGCTTCAACCTAGATTTTAACAAATTTCAATACATTTACTTCATTTATCATTCATTTTAATAACAAAACCCAATATTCATTATGCAATTCAAGTCTAACTTAACTGCTCAACACATTTGCCATTTAATATTGTAAAGAAAAAATCATATAGTAAATTTTTATAAATTATTGTAAATTGTGGTGAGAGAAGATTTTTTTTTCTTCTTCAAAAAATTACCATGGGGATGGGGAGTGCTCTTTGATCGCATGGGGCCTTATTGCCATTGTTAATATCTTATTTTTAACAATTAAAGTGTTCATACTTATTGAGAATCTAGAACAAAATCATCCATGCTATGAATATGAAGAATGCTACTGTTTCTTTTTATGGTTGATTAAGAGTTAACACTAATGCCTTTTTTGGTTGAAGAAGAGGAAAGGAAGAGAAGTTTCTCTATTTGGATAATAAAAAATTGGAGAGGAAATGAGGGGAGGTGAGGGGCTTTCCTTCCTTTTATTATTATTATTATTATTTTGCATTTTAATCTAACCAAACGACGAGAGGGGATTTTGTTTCCCTTAAACCAAACATGAGGTAAATACATGGATGATTCTCCTATTTTAAAATTCCTTGGACTGCTTTGTTTTCATTTATTGTCTAGGAAATTTAGTAACGAAAGAATGACAAGCTTTATGAGGATTCTTATTTCAAGATTCTAAATGACTTTCTCTTATTATTTTAAAACTATTGAATTTTAGTCAAATTTTCATATTCAATCTAATTTATCTAATAGGCAACTTGGTATGTTTTGATGGTATAAATCTCCTCTATATTTTATTAAAATTAATATTAAGGAGGCTACCTTTCTTAAACCTATTGGCAAATGAGGGATCTTCAAAGATCATAATGACAATTAGATTATGGGGTTTGCCAAGTGTTAAGTTTTAAGACATAAAAGATAATCTCTAACTTTATTGTTGAGAAGGGGTTTTCTAAAATTAACATTGAGTCATTGAGCTTGACTATTTTTATGCTATTCAATTATTTTTTGCCAATATCTTTAACATTTTGAATTGCAAAGAACTCATGAGGAATTTTATTCTATCTCAACATTGCAACATGTCGATGGGGATAACCATATGTGTATTAACCCACTTCTCAAGATGGGAACATCACTTTCTTTAACTTTTGTTGTTTTTGATAAATGTCCATCTCTTATGGTTACATTTTATCTTACTTATGTACTAGGGGTTTACTTTCTTGAACCTCTTTAATGAACTTTTTTTGTTATACTAATATAATTGTCATTTTTTCTCAAAAAGAAGATGAAAAAAAGTAGGTAATAACTTCTTCTTTTTCAAAGTATTAGTATTCTTCATTTCTATTTCAAATGTTTAATTAATAGTATGTTTGGGTTGAGAGGAGGGGAGATTTTTTAAAATCAAATTGTAATATTTAAAAACATTATAATTTGATTGATCAAAAAATTTTCCTCTCTCCTCTTGAAACAATCTAGGTTGAAATTTGCCACAAATCTAACAACTCTTTAGACCGAAGTCCATAAACCCTCGAAAGCCAAAGTCAAGTTATTAGTAATAGTTGGTTTCTACAATTACATACCAAGCTTACTCACAAATCCCCACAGATTTAGGATTCGAGGAGTTACATCTCATTTTCTCTCAACTCAAACATATTATTAGTTGTTTCTTTTCTTTATTTTTGATATTATATAAATTCTTTTATTTATATAAAAATATAAATGATGCTCTAAACTAATGCGGGAAAATAAGTATAAATACATATTTTTTTATAATTTTTTTGCTAGAGTACATTGATATATATTAAAAAATTATTTAGATATATTTAACATTTATTTTTAATTTATATTTAATTTTTAAGAGTAAACAATATCTTATATTAAAAAATAAAATTCATAAAAATTAAAAATATAGGTGCCAGGGCACGGGCACTATCTAATTAAAATTAATCAAGAACAAATTAATCTTAAGTTGCACGAAAATCAGCCCGCGACATTCTAACCTTCCGAAAAAAAATCTAAAAAGAGTTAAAATACTGAAATGATCCTCAACTTTTAGATTTATACTAAAACAATACTTAAACCTTAAAAAGCTCTGAATGGGTCCTTGATCTTAATTTTTCGGTACCAATCCGTCCTTCAGCAAGTTAAATATTGTCGTCGCCTAGTTTTCTATTAATTAATTTAATTTCTTCTAATTTTAAATATTAGGCGGAAACTTAAGTGCGGGATTCGGCATCTTTAGGTGATGTGGACAATTTTAGATCCTATGTTACATTTTTAATCTTATATAGACAAAATTATGGCCCCACTCACAGTAACTAAATATTAAAACTAATATAAAATATATGAAATTCCAAGAATACCTTGTCTTCCTCCTCCTTCATCCGTGCACCTTTGCTTACTCTTTCCTTCCGTTCTTTCTCCTTTTTTCTCTCTCACCTCCCCCTTCTCTATTCTTCGTTTTTAGGGCAGCCACGTGAACTTCCCTGTCATTGATTTCTATTAACAGGTTCCTTTGTTTCTCTTTTTTCGGCAGTTACAGCCATGGTATTTGTTCTCAGTGCTACTGGAATATTCTGCGAAGCAGGAGGTGTTGCAGGCTCATTATGTTGAGCTGCAGCCTACAATCCAACTAGAATATGCCATTGTAAACCAATCATAATAACATTTGCCTCCACCAACACTAGGGCCACTAGCAGGAGTTATTGATGAGGCATCATCATTCTAGCTTTCCTAATCTTGGCCACCATGACGATTACTTCCAGGAAGCATTTTCTATACAATTTCAAACACCATGATCAATTTTTAGGTTAGCTAATCAAAATAGGAAAGAATACGAATTAATAAGTCGTACTGCACTACAAATCTCCCAGAAAGCCACCTCACACTCATTCCTCTCCGTGTTACCTAAACTTCGTATAATCCTATTATGTCAATTTCTTAATTATCCCAAGGTGTTTTTCAACCTTGGCTCTGATGCCACAAAATTTATCACCCCTAATCTGAAGAAGAGAACAAATGTCATACACTTGGAAGCTAAGCTCAGAAATAAGGAAGGCTCTAGATTTCAAAAGATATATCTAACATATTTGTACTAATTACTCAATTAATTATTTACCTCTAAAATCAAATACTGCCAGATCCACATCATATTCCAATGACAACATATCAAAATTCGATGTCATCTTTAATTTAAACATTTCCAAATAATAAACCAATATATCGCGCTAAAGTCCAAGAAAAACTATAATCCAAATATCCTCATAAAGGTACTCAAATAGACAACTAAGTCATACACTTAAAACCTCTAATCCAAGCTAAATACTACGGGTTCTTCTACTAACACATCAATCCCCTTAGTCCTCGTAGGTATTCCTAGCCTCATTACTTGAAATGATACATGCATGTACCGTTCTCATGGTGGGTTAGTTTTGTGCACTCATCTTTTAAGTGACCCACATGTGAGAAGAAGCCTTATCACCTTGTAAAGTGTCACATGTGTTAGTCTTTACAGAGATTAATGTCTCATTTCAATAATGCATATGATTAACGAATAATTTAAGAACATTGCTATCATATCATACAGTTCTTACTAATAGCAATGACTACTATTATCTTTTGATCTTTCGATGTAACAAATGCTCTAAGGACTTTATTGATATTTAATGTGCACAAAATAGTAATAGTTAATGTTTGATAAAGAATATTACAAAATGACTATTTGACACCGTATTTTGCAAAACCAAATAACAAATTTTCTGGTTTGACTTTAAGTCATTACACAAACCAAATTTGTCACTAAACATTCATTGCAGGCTTATTTGTTGATGAAAACTATTTTGAGGATCTAATTTGCTTTTTTTTAAAAAAAATTTTATTGATTTAAAAACAGGAAAATGAATTCATATATGGGAAAAGAGTAAGAGGACAAGTGGGGTGAGCCTTCACTTCAAGAGATTATTTTGAAAGAAAAATAAACAAGGAATGCAATACTAAAACTTGTCAAGAGAATTAAATTTTACCCCAAATTTGAGATGGTTATTGATTTTAGTGAGTTTCATATATATTCTCATAATCAATCGTTGAAATAATTTTGTTGTAAAATTTGGTCCCATGAATCATTATACAAATTTTTACAATTGCATAATTATTTTAATTTTTTATTTTAAAATTAGAAAAGGATTAGGCACACGTTAAGTTTATAATAAATACACCTTTTAGACATTAACTCACATATAAAAATAAAAAAAACCGACATTAATTTTAGTGCCCATGCCATGTGGATGTTTTTAGCTGGACAATTGATAAAATTAATGTCAATTTTTATTTTTTATTTATATTAATAATAAAAAGATATAATAACCATTAACTTGTGCCTAATCCATTAAAAAAATACATAAATTGAATTGAATAGTCTCAAACTCAATCTAGTAATGAGATCTCAAGACCAAGATCGATTGGTTTAGTTAGTTTCTTTCCTACTTGGTATTGTGCTTGCATTAACTCTAGTATTATATTTGGTCTTAAAGCAAAATTTCTTAAACCACAACTATCATCTCAATAGCCTTCTTTGTTGCATACACTTATTAAGGTTATTTTTTTATAAAACATGTAAAGTTCTTATTATCAATTCTCACTAAAATTCTTTTGGAGATAAGAAAATTTCAAACTTCTCTATACCTCTTTTACTGCCAGAAATTCTTTTTCATTGTTATGAATTGTTATGATAATTTTTCTCGACTGGTTAAAAGGTTCCACTCGCGTAGGCACAAAGTTCTTCATTATCTGTCTTTTTTCCTTTGGCTTTTAATATTGCACTCTAGAAGTTATCTAAAGCATTTGTTTCTAATATCATGTAATCCTCTTCATTAGGCATCTTTAATTTTGGTAGATTTTTAATCTTGTTTTGAATTTCTTTTATCAAGTTTGTATCATCACTAGTCCACTTCCACTCTTTATCTTTCTTTAATTTCTTTTGTAATGAACTCCTCAAATTTTCTAAATTTTTTATATATTTATCTCCATAAGTTAGGCATCCTAGCATTCTCTGCAGGTGCTTTTTATCTTCTATTCTATTGAGGAATTGATGAATCTTTTCTAATATATGAGGCTGAAGTTCTACTTTTACTTGTTCTAAGGTTAAGTCTAAGAATTCTATTTTGGACTTTTCTAACTCCATTTTCTTTTCTGATAGAATTATTCCATGATCTTTGAGCTTTTCTACTACCATCATTAAATGCCTTCTATGATCCTTCTTGGATTTGCTAAATACTAATATTACATTTATGTAAACCACACAAAAGTCTTTAAATTCTCTAAAGATATTGTCCATCTTCTTTGGAATATTTGTGGGGCATTGCATAACCCAGATGGCATTACTTTCCACTCATAATGTCCTTAGGGTGCACTAAAGGCTATTAAGGGAATTGATTCTTTTGCCATCTTTATTTGCCAATATCCTGACTTACAATCAAATTGCTAAATATATTAGCTCCTTGAATATTATTCAATAGTACTTCTTTGTTGGGTAGAAAATATCCATCAAACTTAGTAGCTTGGTTTAGGACTTTATAATTTATTACCATCCTAGCTTTTTGTCATACCCCAGAATCCAAATTCGAGGCGTAACAAGCACCGTGCACTCGTGAGAGGGTCCCACAAATGCACAAAGCTCAGAACTTATCCAATTCACGTCTGACGATCCAATAACTTAAATCAGATATTTCAAAATAATTCTATGTCCAACATGACTTAAATCCAAGTAATTGATCTAATGACCGAAATCTGTTTTAATCTCATAAATTCAAGGTAAAATCTATCTTACAAAAGTATGATTTATTTCTAAAATCTATATCAATCTCAAAATGGCTAGCTTTCTAACTCATCACTTCTCGTGGTTTCCCCGTCCTTGGTTTCACTTTCTAAAATGGTGGACAAGGAAAAACTATGAGATAACTTAGTAAGTAAATATGGGTAGCCCATGGGTAAAATTTAAGCATGCTAGATAACAGTTTAACATAACAAAATGTTCAATGATAAACCATTAATACATAATCAAATTCAGTTCCATAGCAAAGCATTCAATGACAAACCATTCATGCAGAATCAAATTTAGTAGTAGTCCCATCTATAAGTCATGGCCAGCGTTTAACACCCACTGGCAGGCGTCAGAAATTACCAATGTATTCGCCCAATGGCAAGCGTCAGAATTTACCAATGTATTATCCCATTGGAAAGATTACAGAATGAACCGGTCATATCAGTAAACATGTCGACATGTGCCAGCGTTTGCAAACTCCCACTGGCGGGTGTCAGTAATCATGACTATATCAGAGACAAAACCATGTAGGATTTACAGAAAAATTCATAATTCACAATCAATCTCAAATTTCAGAAATAAACCGAAAAATTTCCATGTGAGCATGGATTTAATAGAAAAACTCAAAATTTACAAAATTCTTAGTTCATCAAGG